GCGTTCTAGTTTCTCCCCGCGTTGTTTGTACGCCGGGCACGATGAGAGACCATGAGGAGTTCCCTTACAGTACACGCATTTTGGTGCAGTGACTGTGCAGGCGCCATCCTCGTGCTTCTCCCCGCATTTGGAACAGCGTGCCTTGCTGCCACAGTGAGAGGCCGTATGTCCCAACTGTTTGCAGTTTTGGCAGTTCATGACCCGAGGAACAAACAAACGCACAGGAAGTCGAAGTTTTCCCAACTCGATGTAGTGAGGAAGGGCTGAACCAGAAAAGGTCACCCGAAACGAGTCTGTGGGGGTAAAGCTCTTTTTACCCTCGCTGAAAGATACTGAGTTCAGCTTCTGGACTTCCAGTATCTCAACCGTGGGAAGCAAGGGGTTCTTGAAACGGCCAACCGCTTGCTTCGCCAAGATCTCGGGGGTCAGACTCGCTTCGGTGACCACACCTTCGATCTCCACATTACGAGCTGGGATGTACACTCTATACTCGAGTGTAAAGAGCTGGGAGGCAGCAATCTCGTTAGCTTGTTTCAGGTTAGAGACGACAACGCGAAGTTTATTGTACCTCACCTTTGAGATTTCGGTCACGGCCGAGAACCGCTTCGTCAGATCATTAGTAATTTGCATTACATTCAAAGGTTTCTTTTTGGGCTGAAAGTAAACAACCCATGGGCCAGTCGAGTCTTCTGGGTAGGCTCGCGATCGGGGGCTTATCTGTCCCTGCCCATTACCAGACTGAGATGACGAACCAGGGATGACATCATCTGATTTCTGGGATGACAGACGTTTTCGACCCTTCTTGCTATCGCGTGGCAAAGTGGTGTCATCTTCCGACAAAACGCCCATTTCGTCTTCCGACAAAATGTCCATTTTGCCGTACTTGTGGGAGCGAAAAACGCTCTACCACTGCAACGATAATCAAAATTACTCGGACACAATACACGAGAAAAAAAAACTCTATGCTTTCATCTACTTCATCTATCGTATAAAAATTACCACTACAGTCTGTTATTTGAAATTAGCATCTTCAACTATGTAAATCGTTGACTTCACGTAGAAGTAATACTAAAAACATATAGTCAAAGTATGTTATTTTACTTTTAAGTTAGTTTAAAATAAGTAAAAACAAACTAGAAATTAAACAAAAAATCAAGACCATTGTTAGATAGCAAAATATCGTTTTTACTTGAATAGCCCCATACAAAAATCTTAAATCTTTGTTTACTAAAATCCACCACAGTTTCCAGGATACTAACGGATACTAATGATCTCCACAACATTTCAAGTACAAATTCTGAGCTTTCAAATGAAACTTGTTGCAAGTGCGGCAATTTGCGGCCAGCTTAGTTATAGCTTTTTGAAAAAGGGTGATTTTTTGCTTAAAAATCACTGTATCTCTCGCCAATCAAATCATAGCACTTTGGTGTCTTGAGTTAAGTTGTGTGTTTAAATATTATCTAAAACTTTGCACAATACACCAAAGAGATACAACGTGAATAAGACATAGAAAAACTCAAACAACTGATTTTAAGGTGCAACTGGCAAATAATCTCTTATATCTTCATACAATGAAGTCATGGCAACTTGATGTCTTCAGCAAAGTTTCTTGAAATTGAAAGCCCTACAACTTTTAGAAGACATCATCTCGATATCTGTTAATATAAAAAAGTTAGTTTTTTGAAGTGCAGTTGCACCTTAAGAAAAATTAAGGTGAACATTCCAAAAGGTGCGGAATCCAGAACTATGAAAATCTTCTGAAGACACCTTAATGCTAAAACGTACGTACATCTCAGAAAACAATTAAGTTCACGAATTTGCACTTTTAAACCACAGTGCGATGGTGCGCAAAATGATTGGCGAATTGCCAATCGCAAAAACAATTTTCGATGATGCCGAAAACTCACTTTCTTCTCAGAAAAAAACTCACTTTTTGATAAATCTATCGGGAATTATGCCAGGAATCACTAAGCGAGAAAAACTGATTATTTACGTCAGATAATAGCGAGAAAACTTCCAAATTAACGGAGCGCGTAACAGGTCGACCGTACTTCTTGCTAGAACGCAGTGGTGTGGGTGATTATTATTGGCAACCTCTTTATTTTCAGCTCCAGTAGAGCTGCGTTTGTCAATACTATTAGATTAATTTATAATTGTGTGTGTCTGTTCTTTCATCGGTAACTCGAAATCAGCAGTTTTTTTGTAGTGCGCATGTTTAATTGGTTTGACGGCGAATGCAAATTGTTAGTAGAGGAGAAGAATGCAGCACGGGCGAGAATGCTGAAACACCGCACGAGATTGAATGTGGAGCGATACAGACAAGCGCGGAACAGACAAAACTCGGTTTTCCGAAGGAAGAAGCGTCAGCAGGAAGACCAAGATCGCGAGACGATGGAAAATCTGTACCGCGTAAACGACACACGGAAGTTCTATGAGAAGCTAAATAGTTCGCGCAAAAGCTACGTGCCACAAGCCGATATATGCAAGGACTTTCACGGTAACCTTCTCACGAACGAGTGTGAGGTGATTGAGAGGTGGAAGCAGTACTATGACGAGCACCTCAACGGTGAAGCAGCAGAAAACAAAGGTGGCACGGCCTTGGAGCACGCGCAGAAGACGACAGGCTACCGGCCCCTGATCTTCAAGAAGTTGAGGAGGAGATCGGTCGGCTGAAGAACAACAAAGCAACTGGTGTAGATCAACTACCAAGTGAGCTATTAAAATACGGTGGTGAAGCACTGGCTAGAGCGCTGCACTGAGTAATTGCCAAGATTTGGGAGGAGTGGATGGAAGGTGTCGTATGCCCAATCTACAAAAAGGGCGACAAGTTGGATTGCTGCAACTACCGCGCGATCACACTGCTGAGCACCGCCTACAAGGTACTCTCCCAAATTCTATGCCGCCGTCTGTCACCATTTGCAAGAGAGTTCGTGGGGCAATACCAGGTGGGATTCATGGGTGCCCGCGCTACCACGGACCAAATTTTCGCGATTCGGCAGGTTCTGCAAAAATGCCGCGAATACAACGTGCCCACACATCATTTGTTCATCGATTTTAAATCCGCATAAAGACGAACCAGCCCAAGGCTGAAAGTCTCTTTATTAAAGAAAAAAAAAATCCGCATGCGACACAATCGATCGGGATCAGCTATGGCAGATTAAACACGAGTACGGATTTCCGGACAAACTGACGCGATTGGTCAAGGCAACGATGGGTCGAGTGATGTGCGTTGTTCGAGTATCGGGGACATTCTCGAGTCCCTTTGAATCCCGAAGGGGGTTACGGCATGGTGATGGACTTTCATGTCTGCTGTTCAACATCGCGTAAGAAGGTGTGATCAGAAGAGCTGGGATAGACACGAGTGGCACGATATTCAGCAAGTCCATCCAGCTCCTTGGCTTTCGCCGATGACATTGACATTATGGCACGGAACTTTGAGATGATGGCGGAAACGTACATCAGACTGAAGGCTGAAGCTAGACGGATTGGACTTGCCATCAACGCATCAAAGACAAAATACATGAAAGGAAGAGGTTCTAGGGAAGACAATGTTAGCCTCCCACCCCGAGTTCAGATTGACGGTGACGAAATCGAGGTGGTCGATGAGTTCGTGTATTTGGGCTCACTGGTGACCACCAAAAATGATAACAGCAGAGAAATTCAAAGACGCATTATGGCAGGGAATCGTGCCTACTTTGGACTCCGGAGGACGAATAAAATTCGCCACCGCACGAAGTTCACCGTCTACAAGACGCTGATTAGACGGGTGGTCCTCTACGGCCACGAAACCTGGACTATGCTCGTGGAGGACCAACGCGCCCTGGGTGTTTTCGAACGGAAGGTGTTGCGTACCATCTACGGTGGAGTGCAGATGGATGACGGAACGTGGAGGAGGCGAATGAACCACGAATTGCACCAGCTGTTGGGAGAACCATCCATAGTCCACATTGCAAAAATTGGGCGACTACGGTGGGCTGGGCACGTCGTAAGAATGCCGCACGACGACCGAGTGAAAATGGTTCTAGAAAGCGACCCAACCGGAACAAGAAGAAGAGGCGCGCAGCAAGTAGAAGGTGACCTTCGGACCCTTCGCAGACTACGAGGCTGGCGAACTGTGGCCATGGATCGAGTAGAGTGGAGACGACTTCTTCGGACAGCAGAGGACAACAAGGCCTTAGCCTGATTGGTAAGGTAAGTATGTTTAATTAAAAAAAAACGCTGGCGTTTCGTAAAGATTTCATTCGGAGACCGAAAGACTAATTCTAGTAAGAGCTGAAATAAGAGCGTAACAGATTTTGTGAATTCTGGCTGCTTTTGATGATTTCTACAAAGTCGTCCAACCCGACGATTTTGTGTGTATACGTGGCTTGCCTTGAATTCCTATAAATCATCGAGAGAAATCATCCTTTACAAAAGTTGTTACGCCCTCATTCCAGCTCTATCTAGAATTTACATTCAGTGAAGTGTTTGGTAAAAAAGAATCCAGTGAAATGAACGATTTAATTTTGGTTGCCGAAAACAGTCAATTACATTTTACAAAAATAGTGAAAAATGGGATTTTGGTTCGCTATTTTCTCAGAATTGATTTCCGTTTACGATTAGGCGTTACATTGTCATAGACAACTTGATACAAATTAATTAATTTTATGATATTTCACTTATCGTGTGTAGTTTGCCTCCTTTTTTGTATTTTTCATATTTCTGCCCGGTGAAGTTTCGCTCCAAAATGCTTACTGTTTCTTGACAGTGAGACATACGGAAATTACACTACACTACTGAACGAGACTGCCTTACGGTTTCGTAACGTTAAGAAAGCTCGCAGTAATACAAACTCTGGGAGTGCTCAAACAACCCAACCTAATACATGGCCGGTCACAACTGATGCTTAAAAAAATCAAGTACAAACACTTCGAAACTGGAAGCTACATTCCAACCCAGCGACGATTAACTTCGAATATTGTGCTCTTCTTTATTGTTCTTCCCATTTTCTTCTATTTCAGTGCCTCCAAACATTCTAGACATCGAGAGCACACCGTCGTCGGTGGCGGTGCGAGAGAACCAAAACATCAACATGACATGTCGAGCCGATGGATTTCCCACACCAAAGATCATCTGGCGACGTGAGGATGGCCAGAGCATCACCGTCGAGCGGAAAAAGAAAGGTAAAGAGGCCACTACCTCCAAAGGCAATGTACAATTTTGTTTGCTATGCCTCGTGTCTCCATGTAGCATCTGCGTCAACTAAAAAAAAAACTACTAGATTTTTTATCTGGTGCTGTTCTTATGTGAGTGGCGTCTGTGCCATCAAAATTCGTAACTTGACTGAGCTTGTGACCCCCCGACATCATCATCATCATCATGATCGCTGTAGTCGGCGTCGCAGTTCTCGTTGTCACTGTCATAACACCTCCCTCACAGAAGACAGAATGCACAAAAACGAAGATAAATCGATTTTTGATTGTTTTAGGAGATACACTCACGTACACAATACCTCGCACACAAAATTCGCCTAACTTTGCCTGTCATAAATGTCTGATTCTGGAGCTCGTCGTCGTCGGGATGAGAAAATTCCAGGAGCGTTGCACTCGCAAATGGTTGTGGAGTGTGGGCCGAGTACGGGAGAAGATTGATGTTGGCCTATGAAACATCGGGGGCAGAACACAACATGATAGAAAGTTCATTAAGTCGAACGTTTGTTGTGTGTTTTAGGGGTTTGATCTGTCCTACTGGTAGGTGTGTCATTTCTCCTGCTACCAGGAGGAAAATGTTGGTGCTGATATGGCAGGCATAAAGTCACAGCTGGAACGTAACGCTCATTAAGGAAGAGAAGAAATGTCAAACTTAGATCTTAGGGATAGTTCTGGTAAATTTCAAAACATTCAATAGAGTAAATACTGGCAATACCTTTACCTTTTACCGTCGAACGGAAGATGCCAAAAATTGAGTGACCAAATATTTGATTTACCCCTCTGACAATAAAAGGTAAAAGTGTTAACGAAAACGGCATTTACCCTATAGTTTAGGCGTTCATTGGGTAGAAATTGTATACTCACTTATGAACAATTTAATTTCGATTAAGTTTACAGTAAACTCGGCTCCCCCGAAAGGTAGCTTCAACCATAGATTTGTTAAACATACCACCAACAAACAAAAAAGGATTCACTTTCCGATCACCCATTCTACCATTAATCTCACAACTGACAAACTTACGTCCGTTCAACTTTTCTCATTAAATATTTTATGACTGGCCGCCCCTTTGCCGTTATGGGAGAGTGCAATTTTTCAAAAATTAATTGAAAACAATTCAGCTTCCCTGCAATCGGAAAGTAATTAAAACTGAACGAGCCGAATCCGGGCAGCGAAGCAGCAGCCAGCACCAACAGCATCAGCCGTTTGCAGTCGGGTCAAAAAAAGAAATTCCAGGAAAAGATGCCATTTCAGCTTTCCCCGCCCCGCCATCTCCGGTCGCTTTGCAATGGAAGAACAAGTGGGATGTGCGGAAAACAGGGGTTCGCCTTCGATATTTTTCACCCTCCCCCTCAATCACTTTCAAAGCGGCTTTCCCGCCAAAGGGTGCACGGTTCCGTAGCAATATGTGCAGCGAAAAAAGTTGGTAAAATGTTTCCACATTTTTGCTTTTTCCCATATGAGCCGAAATGACGGGGTTGAATCTCTTGCAGAAGCAGAGCACCACCATCGTGGGTGGAAGCACCGCACCGTACTGGTTAGGAAACTTTTGTCTTTCCATATATGTAGGAAATTATAGTGTTTGTAGCGCGTCCGTAAAATGGAACGAATGTGTGAGAGGCCAGTCGAATTGTATCCCAGTTGTATGTGCAATATGGTTTTAGATTCTGTCTTCAGTGTATCACAAATTGTAATCAGAGTGTGATCTGAGGCAAGGAATCAGCAACGTTATATCAAAAATAAATGTAACTGTACATTTGAAGCCATTTGTTCAAACTTTTTTGACACATTTGCCTAACTATCTGCATTCAACTCGTAACATTGGTGATTTCAAATGACCTCAATATTATATACATTGTGTGATTTCGTATGAAAGGTTACCCGAGCAAAGTCGGTTAACAAAATGAAAGCAAATCGATAATAAAGTTTGCAGTTCCTATCATAATGAAAACTTATTTTGATTTCAATTGTCGAGACATAAGTCTGATATCATATTGTGCTTTCATTATGCAGTCAAGCCTTTTAAAATGAAAGCAACTTACCTTGAAGTTCTGCTGTTAACGTCTTGTTTAAAAGTTAATTTAAGTTCATCTGTCGTTGAACTAACGATTATTGTTTATTTGTTTTGTTTAACACATTTTAGGTCATTTGAAACTTGCTCGGGGTGAGATTTAAGCTCAAATCTTTCAGCATGAGAAGCATGGATGCTAACCATTTACATCAGGCCCGTATTCAGTTAAACATTATGAATGCAAAATCAGAAATCAAATTGATTTTATTGAAAGCAGGATTAGTTTTCCGTTTGATTCAACAGTGTAAAATTCTGCTCTCATTTTTGCTGTGTTAACCGTTAAGTCAACCAAAATGAGATCAACTGGAGTATTCAAAATAAGTTACATCATAACAGCAAAATTTGATTTCAATTTGATCTCAAGCTTTGCTCGGGTAAGGTACACCAGGACAAGTTGAAACGCACGGGGAAGTTGAAACGTTAAGTGTTTCTTTTAGAGGAAGTGAATATTCACTGTAGTTATTTTTGAGGGGCATTGTGTAGTTTCGGAAACTACTAGATTATAAATAATCTCAGTGATTATTCACTTTCGCTAACCACTACCGTTTCAATTTCCCCACGCGTTTCAACTTACCCCGGTGTACCTTATTTAACACTCCGAACACGATATCGCCAGAAAAAAAATGTTTATCGGCAAATTGGCAATGAATAAATCTTTAGAGCAGTTAATTTCAAATGGTGCCAATAGATTTGAAATTCAACAATGGCTGAGCTATGAATTTTTCAAACATTGCAACTTTGCCGTTACACGTTTTACCGGTGTCGTGTTCGGAGTGTTAATTTCATGTACACTGAAACCTCCGTTTACGAAGTCTTTTTCTACGCAGTATTCAATTTACGTCCCTCTTTTTGCGAAGTACATCCCAAATAACGAGGTTTTTTTTTAACGAAGTACAGCTATCCCCCGAAGAACATGTTACCCACTGAGTTGCAACCACCGCGGGGTTTCAACCAGTTGGTCTGATTTTATGCATGTGAGTTGGGGTCAATGGAGAACAAGTCACTCGTAGAAAATCAGAGCGCTTGGTTGAAACCCCGCCGAGAAAAAGCGGTGGGTGCAACTCCCTCTTGAATTTCAAAATGGTGACAGACATGAATTTTCGGTCTCTACATGTCATCCCGATTCCAAAGATACCCATATTGTGGGGCATTTGTCAGTATTTCCCAGTTTTTTCTGTAACCTGATGCTGCCATCTTAGATAGGAGAAAAGTTGGCTTCGGCAATACCTTAACCTATTATCGTCAGGGGGTAAACAACGTCCTTGAGAGCTCAATTTTGGCATGTGGATACATTGTGTTTCAGAGCAACTATTGGCCAAATTTGAGTGCTCTAGGACTTTGTTTACCCCCCTGACGATAATAGGTTAAGGTATTGTCGAAGCCAACATTTCCCCTACCAAAATGACATCAGACATAGATTTCAGGTTCCTACTGATTCCAAAAATACCCATATTATGGGGTAGGGGGCAATGATACATAACGCACCCGCTGGGCAGAACGCACCAACTGACTTTAATTGTGATTTTCATGGCTTTTTCGTAACTTGTTTGATGTATTATCAAGCAGCACTTATTTCATAGAATCTGAACTTGAAATGATGCATGATAAATCCTAGAATTGGATTGAAAATGCAAAGAAAAACTCAAAATAAAATTGGAAAGTGCGTTCTACCCCAGGGGTATGTTATGTACCATTCTCCCCTATTTGACAGTCTAGTATTTCCCAGTTTTTGTGTAACCAGATGCCGCCATCTTCGATTTCAAAATAGCGCCAAACATAGATTTCTGGTTCCTACATGTCAATCCGATTCCAAAAATACCAATACTGTGGGGTATTTGACAATGTTTTTAAAAACCTCTTTTTATGAAGAAAATCCCAAATAACGAGTTTTTTTTACGCACTGATTCGATTTACGAACCCCCGGTTTGGTTCGTAAATGGAGCGTACTAAATTTCACACACTCATAAAAAAAATACACACTTCATATTTACCTAAAACTAATGGATTTAGGAATATAATTTTATTCATCATATATATATGAGCAGATCCACTCCAGAATTCGGGAAAACTTGACCTTCTCCGGTTTGCACGAAAGTTTTCATAATTGTTTGATTCATTCTGATTTTTTTTTTTTTTAAACTCGGCCATTTTGAATCTTGTGTTTTTTTTTCAATCTTGCGGCGTTTTTGAAAGTTTTCAATATATTGTAGCACGTAAACGTCACTTCTGATCTCGATTTGTTAACAAATGTTGTGTTAAAAATCCATGTGTAAAGTCTGACAAGAAGAGATGATGATGATGATGATGATGATGATGATGATGATGATGATGATGATGATGATGATGATGATGACTCATTGTAGCACGGAAGCTATGACGATAAAAAAAAATCAGTTGTAGACCGTTGTAAATTGTCATCAGCAAATAGCACTAAGAAGGGCCAAAATGAATTCGCCTTTTAATTTCTTTGGGACAGTTAAGAATGTGCTTCAAACAAGTTGATCAGCAAATTGGTCAGAAAACGAGTCATCCAACAGGAAGATGCCCCAATGAATGAAGAGAAGAGCCCGCCCTTTATCCACGAAATGTTAGCAACAAGGTGTTGACATCTCCACTCTCCCCATCCAAATCGCTTCAATTGGGTGGTTTGGTTGGTCCCTCCTCATCCCGAATTCCTCGATATATAGTAATATTTAATATCATTATCAGATAATCAGAAGCATAAAGTCTAAAAAATATGCGAGTCGATTGAAATCTCCTGAAAATAAATGAGGGCTAGATTGATTCTTAATATAGAAGCGTAGATGCACAGGTGTTGCACATGCAGAACTAGAAGTCATCGAGATTGAATGCGCATGTTTAAATATCGTTGATCCAGTTACCTATCATATAAATTTGCATCTA